TACCAAACAGCTAATTTGAACAGGACGGCGCAGGAGCTCCGATTGAGTTGGACCAGATCCCAAGATTATAACCTAGTCCATGAGTGTGACAATAGAGCCTCTTGCTACTGGGATGGGATCATAACGTAGCAAAAGACGAGCAAAATAGCAAACAATACACAAGACCCACAAGCCTGGTTGTTGAACTTGAAAAGGTTGTTCCTTCAACCAGGTTCCGAATTTTTTTTTGGGAGTGTGGAATGTTCGAAGTCAATAGCTGGTAATGTGCGAAATAGCTAGAAAATAATACCAGGGAGTGAGAAAAAAGAAACCATAAAAGAGAAAGAACACTGGATTAAACACATGGATGAAGGAGGAAGATGGAACAATATAGTAAGCATCAGTGTAAAAAAAAACGAATAGAAACATAAGGGGAGCGGAGCAAAAACGCCACAAATACCAGCCGCCTGACCATAAATGCAGTCAGCTGGCAGCTGATGCTACCCTCAATATAGCGACTTTACCAGAATGGCCCTTAATGCAATCGTTGAAAAAAAGAAGAGCTCTGAGATTACAAAAATGTTCACCTATCATCTACCTAAATAACTTCGTTCTAAGTGAATTATATAGGCTTGTTGGTGGTGATCTTCTAAAAAGTCAAGAATATAATATTTGACACAAAGGTGGAAGGCGCGAATAGGTTGTAATTTCGAAGTTGGAAGCAAAACCATAAAAAAGTGAAAATAATGCTTCGTTTCCATACTCCGACACTCAGGAAAACCAAGAACAAAACTATGCATTCTATGAAATTGATATAAGCTGTTTATAAAACATGTGGAAACAATTTTTAAAAGAAAACCCACTGTTTGTGTGAAGGGGCACACACAATTGCAACCGCTTCACTTAGCATCATCTGATAAGCACAGTGAGTGTGAAGATCGACTGAGGAAAGAAAAGCGGTCTGGCTAGGATGAGTATGTATCCATCCTAGCGTTATTAGATCATGTTTGTCCTGATAGGCAAAAACCTGCAAGAAATCCGGTACAATTGATCTTAGAAGTAAACGAAACCATATACTAGTGAAAACATTGATGTATAGTAACCTCTTCCTCTCCTTCAGCATAGCAACCATCAGAGGCTCCGGACTGTTTGGGAAGGATCACATGGGAAACAAGAAAGGCACTACCCACCTGTAAACAAATCGTAACAAAAGAGATTGAAAAGAGAATCGCAATGAACTTACAATTGTCCCACATAAAGTACCACATGTCTCCACATTTTTAGCCGTATTGCTCTGAGCGCAAACCAGAAACCTAAAGAAGTAGAACTGACCACGTAAGCACGATATTAGATATACAACAAAACAGTAAAAATTACTTCTGAATAAGATCGCCAGCGATGAGAACTATTCTGGTACCAATAGGAGAAGAAGCATCGTGAGATGGGTGACTGACTACGCTTGGTTTATCACTGCGGTCGACAGCAGGAGCAGAAGGCATGACTGAATTTTTTGGCGAGGAGAAAACCTCATTCGGAGGGCTTGTAATGGCACTGATTCCAGGAAAGGAAATACTGCTTGTCGTGATATGCGGATCTCTGAAATATGGATGGTAAGTGAGGACGCAAAGGCAAATCGAATTGCAGAGTATTTCGACTATCCAAGATTACCACATCGTGAATCCCCGAGACATATTTATGAGGAGTCCGTAAGGAAAATTTTAGAAGCTTGCAGCAACCTCTATTCACATGAACCTAATTTCGAATAACCATGAGAGAGCAGCATAGTTCTCAAAGGATGGAATTTACAAAGGTTACAATCTTAGAGAGTGTAACTTGATCCATTGCCGCACCAGCAGTATTAAATACAAAAGTAAATGTTAACTATCAGAATTTCCTAAAGAGTTCAAAAGATCGATACCCTTTCGACTGGAATTCTGCAAAAAGTGGGAACTCTCACTATTGGCGACCAAAAATCGGGGACGATGTCACATTTTCAAGACATCAGTGATCATGTGGGAGG